TCTAGCAAGCTTTAACCCTAGCATCTGACTCCTGAGTCTTTATTGGGAAAATCAAACATTTGGGATTTTTTTTTTTTAAGCAACACACCCCCAGTGGCATGCCTCCTCCAACCAGGCCACACCCTCTAATACCAAACAATCCCACCAACTGGGACCGAGTGTTCAAACATATGACTCTATGGGGGTCATTCTCATTCAAAACTACATAGGAGATAATAGCCAAAGCCCAAAAGCAAAGAAAAGACATCCACTTGGACTGCAAAACAAAAACATCCACATACAAAGGACAGAAGGAGCAGCATAATTTTGTCTGTGTTGCCCCTCTTCTAAGCTGGTACACTGCCAAACACAAATGATTCCAGGGTCCCTTGGTTATTACAGAGGGAGGAGAGAATTGGAGGCAAATTTCAGCTTGTCACCATTCTTGGACCCTTTATGACTGGCACTCTATGGTCTAGCCACATGAATGCCAAGGCTCAGTTGGAGAATAGGGCTGTGCTCACAAAAACCAATATTCAGATCTTGGCAATAGCTTTGCATTACATCAGCAGGGAGGCAAGCCAGTAGGATCACTCTGTAAGCAGTCAGTGATCTCCCTGGCTCATACCTGTTCAGCTTCTGTATCTAACCTTGGAACTTCCCCTAGACCAGAGAACAGGGCCAAGCTGATCATTATTCCAAAAAAAAAAACAAAAAACAAAAACAAAAACTGTCCCTGCCCAACCCCAGTCCTCAGTCTTTAACCCAACCAAACACTAACCTTCCACGAGATGGGAAAGCAGGGCCAAAGAAGCAATTAATCATAGCTGGAGCATCTAGCTTTGTCCAGGCCCAGCGGTGAAGCAGCCTTTGTACCAGTTTTGGTGCACTGCTTAAGACTACCATAGGCTGGAAAGAAAGACCCTCCCCACCCCATACACACCCACATACACACATATATGTGGAGCCTAGACTTTGACTCTGCCCACTCTGAGTAGCCATGAAGCCAGACACATTGATGGGCCTTGGAGCCCAACGTGCATTCCCTATCTTGATTCAGTCCCCAAATGGCGAAGAAGCAGTGTAATACAGTCATAAGCCTGACTGGACAGCATGAGACTGACTTCAACTTACAGCCCAGCTCAGCTAGAGAACAAAATAGCAAAGTCTGCAATGGCTAGGTTGTGGGATACTAACTAGCACAGCAGGGATTAAAGGCAGGAGCCAACAGTGAAGACCTACAGGCAAGCGGAGGCGGGAAGGGGTCACTGATTGATTCTTTCACAGGTGCCTGGGACAGAGCACCAGAGATGGGCAGTAGAACACCACTGAAAGAAATAATGAGTTGTAGAAAGCAAACCCCGAAGAAATGGAAAGCGAAATGAGCAACAATGAATTCAGAATAGTTCCCTTAAAGAAAGATAAAGAACTACACAAAGATTCAGACACAAAATTAAATCATATGTTGAAATTTTTTTTTTTTTTAATCATGAAAGAATACTGAATTGCTGTTGAATGGCCTGGTAGGTTCATTTCGGTTGAAGGTGTCCAATACCGTGCAGGAAAGAAGTGGCAAGCATGGTTAGTGTTCCAGATGTTAAAGCAAAGACTTTAGCTATCTGTCCCTGGGAAAAAATGTTAGCTGTAGGCTTTTTATAAAAACTCTCTATTATGTGCAGTATATTTTTCTACATCTAATCTGTTGAGAGTTTTCATAATGAAGGTATATTTATTTTTAAGAAATGTTTTATTCGCATGTAATGAAAGGATGGCATATTTTAATTGACACACAGTATCAAATTAATGGTAAAATAGAAACAAGAAAATTGGAGCCCCAAGAAATAGACAATACAGTAACTGAGCTAAATATTTTAATAGTAAACATCGGCCACAGACTAGTCAGACAGAAAAAGTAACAGGGGGTGGAAAGATAGAACCTTTGAAATTATACAGTCAGACAAGTACAAAGAGCTGAGCCAGCCTGACCTACAGAGTTCAATCCCAGACATCCATGTAAAAAGCTGGAGTAGGTTCCGCATATCTGTAATCTCAAAATTCCTATAGTGAGATGGGAAACTCACAGGCCAGCTAGCCTGGAGTACACAGCATGGCAGAAACAAGACAATTCCTGCCTCCCTGAAGAAAGGAAATGAGACAAGAGTAATTACACTTGTAATTTCAGCAGTCTGCCAGAGGTGGGGGAAGAGAAAAAGGAGGGGGCTAGAAAATGGAGGAAAGGAAGAAGACTGGAGAAAAAGAAAGAGAAAAGAGAGTAGGAGGAAGAGAAAAGAAAGGGGACTCCTGCCTGTGTTTCAATGTGTACCTACCACAGCTTCCCTATTTCCCTGTCAACATGAGTCTGTTTACTCCTTGAACTTGAGCTACAGTATCATGTTTCTCCTCTTGCCAATCACATGTAATTTCTTCCAGGCAGTTACAAATGTGTGTTCAAGAATATAGCACTAAGACAGACGATGGTGGCACATTCCTTTAACCCCAGCACTTGGGAGGCAGAGGTGGGCGGATCTCTGTGTGTTTGAAGCTAGCCTGAGGGAGCTCCAGAACAGCCAAAGCTACACAGAGAAATCCCGTCTCAAAAAAAAAAAAAAAAAAAAAAAAAAAAACCAACCAGCCAAACAAACCCGAAGCCACAAGACAAACACAAAACAAAAAAATCATAGCACTATTGTCCAGGTCATCCTCGAAAGCTTCTCTTTCATGGATGGCAGAAGCCACTGAACACATCACTACCTCCCAGTGCCAGGCACCCAGCAGGTGTTCATGTGCTCACTGTACTGAATGGCATTTTTCCCCTCCATTAAAATTTGTTCCCCGATTAATCCTGAGGAGGACTGAGGATGGGCATGAGAGCACCCTACAACACAGTAAGATCCTTCCCACTCTACTGAGCTTATGCCAGTCTCTCAGCCTATATGACAAACTTCTGGGATCAGAGCACTCCCGTTTCACAAAAGAGGAGACACCCAGCCTGGAGACATAATGCATGTCCTAGCGCATCTTAGAGGCTGTGCTGAGGGTCACGGCACCTCAGAGAGGAGCTGGGAACAAGAGAGTGACAGTCTCTGAGACCTGGCATGCCCTCCCCCCAATCCTAGACTGGTTTTTGGCATTAGAGCATTAGGAGTCAGATGCCAGTGTGAGTTCAGCATACTAATAGGTTTCGAGAGAACACAGAAGAGCATTCTCTTAAGACACGGAATGCTGGGCTGTCAGTGAAGAGAACCCAGCAGTGGAGTGGGCAAAGAGGACCACGTGCGTCTCTTTCTTTGAGGCTCTATCCTTTCTTCTTAAAATTAGCCAAGGAACTGAGCCCCCCTCATCTTCCGCCTCCCCGTAGTTAACATGCATATCTTAAGAAGAGAATCAGATTCCGGGATGAGGAGGAACAGAAGCCAGCCTCCAGACACAGACAGAGGTCACCACCGACCAGCTCACCAGTCCAGTGGGAAGGTCCTCAGGCATGGGGCCACTGGAAATTTGACCAAATAAACATATTTTTTTCTGTAACTTTTTCTTTCAACTCCCACTCTCCTGAAATCTAAACAGTGCTTCTTTATCGTTCTGGAGATGCATTAGTTCGATGAGCTCACAATGCCAAAGCATTGGACACACGGCCAGGGATACACTTCAGTGTTCTATGGCTGAGCGGTAGGACTCATGTCAAGATGTCATCAGGAGTGGCTGCCTAGGGTCCTTCCTGTCCTGAAGGAGAATCCCCACAAGCCCCAGCATCCAAGGCTCTATTCTCCAGAGTCCTAGCTGGGTAGCAGGCATCACCCTGGAACAGCCTGCAGTTCTTTCCCAACCCCAGCTCAGGAAGCTGGCTACAGCTGGGAAGTTAAAAAGGCAGGGGTGTGGAGGGAGGAAGCATTAGGCTTGATTTGTTCAGGGCTATCATGTGTAAAGTACCTCAAAGTGTGTGGCTTCGACAACAGAAGTGTTTTGTCTCAAACTTCTGGAGGCTAGAACTCCCAGATCGAGGTTAGTCCCTCTGAGGACTGTGGGGAGAATCTGTTCCAGGTGGCTTCCTCAGCTTCTGGCCGGTTTCTGGCACTCTTTGACATTCCTTGGCTTGTACATCACCCTGACCTCAGCCTTCATCATTACATAGTGTTTCTCTGTGTGTGCCTGTCTCTAGATTTCTCCTTTTTATGAGAACGCTGGTCATACTACCCAGCCCACTAAACTGCAGCATGATCTCATCTTAAATAATTAGATCTGCAACGATCCCATTTCCAAAGAGGTCCCATTCTTAGTCTTGCGGTTGGGAATTCACTACTTAGGATTTGGGGAGACACCCTTATCTTGAAAGCAGGCAGTTCCGGAAAAAAGAAATTCCCCTCCAAAAACCTTCCTTTCTTCGGTATTTTTTTTTTCCTCCTAACACTCTCGGCTGTTCTCTAGAGACATTATTATCCTGAGACTCTAAGGCAGTGTTTCTCAGCCTGAGGATCACTACCCCATTGAGGGTCAAACAACTATTTTACAGGGGTCACCTAAGACCATGAGAAAACATATTTAGGTTACAATTATAACGGTCGCAAAATTATAATTACGAAGAATGAATGAAAGAAGAAGCAATGAAAATAATTTTGTGATGAGTGTGTGTGTCATCACAACAGGAGAGACTGTATTAAAGGGTTGCAGCATCAGGATGGTTAAGAACCACTGATCTAAAGGTTCTGAAATCCAGAGCAAGGGTCTTTCCTTTCATTCCTTGCCCTGTTCTCTTTCTCCTCTCTCCCAATGTGTGGGGTGACTGATACTTTCATTACTTGTATCAAACAAGGGTGAACAGAAGAAAAACTGTCAATGAACTGTCAATATTTCTGAGAGTCTGTCCTTCACAATAGATATAGACACTTTCCCCTGAAGTACTGAAGAGGGAGATTAAGGCCAGGGCTCCTGGAGGAGTATAGGGGAATTTGGCATTCCAGCTGTGTAGCCTTGGGACACGAGAGTCTAGTCATTCCCTTCAGCAAGTATGAAGAGAAGAGGCATATTTTTGAAAAAGACATTTATTTTAAAATTTGTACATAGTCTTTGGATAATTTAGAATTAATAGGTATGTCTTTAAAGTTTCTGACACAAACCCCAAACCAAGAGCAACAGTAGATTTGATTGGCAGAAGAAATCAAGAGGATCCTACAACGTAGGATGCATAGATGGCTACCAAAGTCAATGCCGTGTAGACAGAGGCTTTCCTGTAGCATTCAGTCATTCATTTTAAGTTACCTGTTGCAAATATTAAATACCTCACCAGACTAACGACAACACTCACATTCATATTGCATTCCACTTTCCTCAGGTGTCTGTCCACATTTACAGAGCACAGAGAAAGTCTTATTGACATCAGAAGCACATTACACATTATCAGTTTATTCTCTCACATTAATTAACAGGTAAAAACTAGAATCTACCCAGTGTAGCCTCCATCTCTAATGTGCCTCCTGCTGACAGAACATCAGCCTCCTGGGCATTCCATCCACTGTCCTGATGAGTTCCAATGAGCAGGTGAGATCGGAACTTGAATCAAACCAGGGACTCCCTACAGCCATCCCATGCAGCAGCCAGGTAGCCTGATGCTCCGTGCACCCTCAAGCAGAAACAGACCTGAGGTACAGGCAGCAAGGCGGAGTAGGCTCCTGGTTGTTTCAAATGGTGCCGCTGCCTCACAGCAGAAAGGGTGGCCCCTCCTCTCCACTGTCCTCCCTCACCGCAAGGCCCAGCCCTGGGAATGATCATGGAGGGTACCTATTTCCTATGGACACAGGGCATGGACACAGACCAGCCACGTGCTTTCCTGTGGTCCTCACCCAGCCCAGTCATTCGCTTTCCTGTGCCCCCTGGCCCCACACAACCCTGTGAGGTAGGATTGTCACCCCCATTTTACAGATACGGAAACAAAGAAGAGACTTTGTGGAAAGTGGCACAGTGAGGAAGTGGGGGTCAACCTGAAAACTCAGGGCTTTTCACTTTAGGTTTTCTTTTGCCCACATAAGGTCAGCATTAAGCAAGTGTCTAAGCTCTAAGACAGGGGGTCTGCAGCTCAGACACAGGAGCCCCTTGACCACACAGACCAGCCTCGGGAGTCCTGTGGATCGTGTCTGAGTGACCTTGGTTCAATAGCATTCATTTTCACTGTAAGTCACTGAACCGCTCCACACTGGGGCTAGGCTAGGTGAGTCAGGCAGGGATGTCTCAGAAAATCCTTGTGAGAGTATGTTTGTCAAACCCATTGGGTGCTTCCTGCCCAGAAACCAATGTCACTCTCCCTTGCAGGGAGCTGGTGGAGAGCAAGCCCGTCTGTGAGGTCTGTGGTCACACACCTCACACCTTGCGAGAATCAGCTTTGATTAAGATTCTAACCTGAGTCCTAGAAAGCATATTCCCCACGCCCTGAGTGACCTTTCATGGGGGGAGGGGGCATCCCATAAGGTCAAAGAAGTTGGGATCAGGATATCTGTCAGACAGAAAACGATTAAAAGTAATTGAGGAAGAAAAGACTGCTTTCAGGGAGAGTCATGGCAACAATTATGAGAAGAGTAGGGGGTAGACATTTAAAAAATAGAAATAAAAAGAGCCCCAGTCAGTTGGGCTCACCAGGTGCCTTCTGTGGGGTGGCACTTGGTGCCAATGTGGGTACGGGTTTTCTAACAAAAATATCTTGGGCCTCCATGTTCTAACATATCTTACAGAATGTAAGATCAGTGATAAAAAGAAGAATGAACACACAGACCTTCTGACCGAGATGGCCTGTACCTCTTCCTCCTTTAAGACCTTCCCCAATGTCAAAGCTCTACAAGGACATGGCAGAGCTGGCCCCTCCTGCGTGTCCAGACAACAAGCCCCTCTTCTAAAGCCCCATGCACTGAGCATGCAGAATGTCCTCATTCTAGCTGTCTGTTGGCTGTCTCTCTCTTCTGCTCAACTGTGAATAGGCTGAGGACAGACAGGAAATTCCGTACCTTTCGGTCTCCACAAGGAGTAGGAAGTTGGCTACCTGAGATCCTTCGATCATGAGCACCCAGGCTTAAGGATCAGCCTAGCCAGACACAGTGACAACAGGCCTCTATGCTCCAGGGGAGTGCCCTCGGGAACAACTTTTCTCTAGAGTAACGGAGCAAGCTCCTCCAATTATTTCCTTCTCCCCCACCCCCAGCCACCCTGCAAATAGCACAAATCATGATTTGGGAGAGTTTCTTTTAAGATGCGAAATCAATACTTAGGGAGAGATTTCGAGCCACAGAGTATGCTGATTTGTGAGAATGACATCATTCAGCTGAGAAAAAAAAAAAAAAAAAGTCTAGTTTGGCAACCCTGTTGAGAAATGTGGATCTTTCCCCTATCCATATGGAAGGAAAGGAGAATGCTGTCTAGAAGGAAATGTGTGTGGCAGAAATCTGCGCTCCTATACTCTGTGGCTGCAGGGAAGGCTGGGTCTACCTTCTTGCCTTCAGACTCTGGAGGAGGACCCATCACTCTTGCCAACAAAACTCCTTAGAGTGCAAGTAGGCTGGGCCTGTTGAAAGAAAACACTCCTTCAAGCCGTGGCAACCAGGAGACCATCCATTGCTAGGGACAATGCATGCCCCGAAAGCCAGACAGAGTGGCTTTCCCAAACAAGTAAATGTCTTCATCTGTTCCCTCGTTGAGATGCTTCACCAAATTCTTCTCGAAGAGGAGGGGGTGGTAGGCGCCCATGGTGCAGGCGCTCTCGAAGAACTTCTGGTAATAGTAGCATACGTTCGTCTTGCGCTTGGAGGGGAGGAACTCGTAAATGTCCACCTGGTCACACAGTGTCATCATGATGATGATGCCTGGAGAGGGCAGCACGAGGGAGTCATGTCCAGCAACCACAAGCAAACCCAGAACCCCGCCCCAGGACGGTGGCTGCTTAGCACCTTGAACTACGTGAGCGCTCACCCAGAATTCTTGCTATTCCTAGGACTCCCCACTCTGTGTTTTTTTCTGATAAGCCAAGGCCACCAGACTGGTCCATTTTATACCTTTGTACCCCTAACACCAAGACCAGGTCCTGGTACAGGATAGAATAAGCCCTCCACCATGCTGGGATTAAAGGACTCCGTTAGTGATTTAATCAATGGAGTAAGCTATTGTAAGCTGACGTAACTGTAACTGAGACAACAAACAGAACAAGGCTATCACTTTGTACTTATCACTTCCTAGCAGTTCCTCACCCTGCCAAAGCCTCACAGTGAACAATTAAGAAGACTGTTTCACAGAATACCTGTAGGACATAGTTCTGCGGACAGAAGACAATTCTTTGCTTAGTTGGGATGACACAAGAGGAAAGCAAAATCAAAGCATGGCCCACACTGGCGCTGACCAGGGAGGCTGTGTAGTGAGATGTAAGCCCAGACTTGACCTTGACAGGTTGAGTTCTCTCGGGCAAGAAACAATGCCTCTATGTGCCTCAGGCTCTTCATCTGCTCCTATAGGGAGACCTATGCAATACTCTACCGTTTGAGTTATTGTTAGGGTTACATAAGATCTCAGTTGTAAGAGCCCTTGTTATGTCATGGTCTGGTGCTTTGTATTTAATTAATTGCTCACGCCAAGATTCTTATTGTTCTACGAGCAAACCCTCATGTATACCAAAATGGTATTGTGTAACCCTGCTTCCAAATGATTCCTGATTGGTAGAATAAATGCCTACATCTGGAAAGGGCAGAAGTGAGGTAGGCAGGGACAGGGTTCATGGGCTTGGAGGACAGAATGATCACGGGAAGGAGAGAGAAGAAAGAGGTAGAGGAGTGGAGAAGAGGAGGCAGAGCCGCCATGGGTTAACATGAACGAATATCACATGGCCAGGAGGAACCTGCTCTGAGGATGGGTGATGGAGGAAAGCAGCCCAGATGAGAAGCATGTGCAAGTATTTCTGGGATACTGGATGGGAAGCAGCCCAGCTAGGAATTATTAGAGCAGTTGGCATGGGATGTGGGGGCTGGGAGGTAAAGATAGCTGGGGGGGGGGGGTAGTTTCTGCCCAGCCCCAGGGTTTAAGGCATATTAAGAATTTAAAAGGTGTCTGTGTCTTTTATTGATATGGTAGGGGGTTAAATAACTAACTGCTGCAATAATTATATGTATGATTAATAAATATTTAGAGCAATTTAACAAGCCTTATTAATATAGGGTATAATGGAGCAGTTCCCAACTGAGAGCGGAATTACAGACTGTGGCAGCTGCTTCGTTCTAGAAGAAGCACATGCTGGAAAAACACATCTGCCTTCTGATTGCCCCCAACTCAACGAGGGAGAAAAGTCAGCTCTGTAACCAACAGACACAGGCAGGACAGTAGCACCCTTCTCAGTAAGGCCAGAGAGCACTGGTGTGGGGTGCAGGGGCAGTAAAGACTGAGAACAGGTCCAACAGTCCCAGATAACAGAAGGGCAATGGGGCCACATGAAGTGTGTTCCTCAGCACGTCCACTGTTGCTGCTGTAAAAGCTCCAGGAAGAACCCAGCTGCACCTGCTTAAAAGCCGAAGCAGAGGGTACGGAGGGGACACACGGCGTCTGAGAAGCCAGGAGAGGTCTTACTAACTTTTCGTCTGTCTCAGGTTCCAAACATGATCCTGCAGAGCAGTGTGACCAATTCTGGCTGTTCCTTATAATTTTTGGCATTGTGTGTGTTTGTGTGTGTGTGTGTTTCTTTTTAAAGATACTGCATTTAGATACTTGGTTAATGAGTTTTGGCTTACTCTCTAACTTGTAAAAGACAAGGGTCTTGTCACTCCATCCAAGGTCCTCTTTTCTCACTTCCTTCTCTTTGGGTGTGCTTTCCTTTACTCCATGTCAAACCCTTCCTCCTCTGCTCCTCTGACCACGAACCTAGCAGGGGTCCTCTCTCTTATGATATCAAGGTAGCCTCCACATTTGTGGCACAAATGCGCCCTTGGGTATCTGACTGAATGCCCTTAGCGGACACCTTATTTGAGGCAGAACCTAGTTCACTGCACAAGCAGAATGGTTCTGGTGAATGACTTGAGACCCAAGAAGAAAGCCAATCTCTTCTACAAAAGCAAACGCACAATGTCTCCACACAGGGACTCACCCAGCATGCCAGAGGATGGGGGATTTGGCTGAATCTGATCTGGAGAGATCTCCTGAATGATGTCCCACAGTTGCCATGGCATCTGGGGCCTGAGAATGTAAAAGGGCTGGTTGGGGTGCCGCCTGCGGTAATTCTGATACGTTTCAAAGAAATCGTAGTCCGGGCTTCCAAACCACTGGAAAAGAAGGAAGTGGTGTGCTCAGCAACGAAATGTACTCCTTACCCAAACATTCTCCCCGGAGGATCAGCCTTGTCTTGCGGCAGACCACTAACTTCTCCAAATCACCGCCCTTCGTGGGTGGTACAGTTGGGCCCGGGACTTAGTCTATGCTTATAGGATTGTTGGGGTAGATTTCTTGAAAACGCTTCAGATTTCACAGCCAGCAAATCTGGGAAAGGTATCAGTTGAAAGGGGGATCTCTGCACCATCTAAAATTTTATTGTTTGTTTTGCCATGGCTGGCCTTGAGTTAAATGATCCTCCTGCCTCAGATATCCCAGAGCTGGGACCACCATACCTAGGTATTCTTATCATTTAAGGAGAGGAAACCGGGGCACATGCTGTCACATCTATGGGCTCAGGGTCTTTTCACTTGACTCCGGCAGACTTGGGTTGTAACAGCTAGGGGGAAGCTGAACGGAGGAAGTGAGGACACTGGAGATTGGCAAAACCTGTTGGCGTCAGTGGGTATTTAAGGAGTAAGTATGCCAAAGACAGCACTTTCTGTCCTGTTTCTGGAAAGCCACTCCCCTGAGGCCACTGTAGCCCATGTCAAGAGATGCTGACCTACACATATAAACAAAAGCCGAGGGGGGACAGTTCCAGAAAGCCTGAGAATCCAATGGGCCTGAGACTCACATCTTCCCTGAAAAAACTGATATCACAGAGCTGTGCCACTGAGCTAGGAAATAAAGCCTTAGCACAGGTGACTTCCCCTACCTATGCTTGGCTTTTCCCATCTGTAAAATGGGAGCCGTCATGCTTCCTCCCGCTTCTTGACAGTGTCACAAGCAAAATGAGAGGAACTTAAATATTGCACATGAGGAAAAAAAAATGTGACATCATTGACAGGAATAACAGCAATTACTGTCTTTTCTCTCAGAGGTTCATCAGGTGGACAGTGATGAACATGTCCTATTCCAGATTACTGCTGATCCAATCTCCATCACTTTCAATATTGTACTCCATCACTCACATCACTGGACTGTGTGCATGACCTTCAAGGGAAGGCATGGAGAGGCTGGTGAGGGAAAGGAATTCTGAGTGTCCTAGTCCCCATGTAGTGGGCTTCCTAGAACTCAAACAGCCAGGAATGGCTCAAGCCAGATGTGACTTACAAACATGGGGAAATCTGAGGGCAGATGGAAGACCCACGTACCTCTGGAATATCCGCATGATACATAGATGGGTCCCACACAATTAAGATTCCTTCGTTGTACAAACTGTCTTCCAGGAAGTGGCGGTCTGTAGTGATCAACTGCAGTGAGAAAGAGAAACGCTGTGATGTGAGCATTTATGTGTAAATATTTGGCTCCTAATAACAACTGACACATCATCAGGCTGGTACCACCTGAGGCCCACAGCCCCATGAGGATCTAAGCTGGCTTAGCGCTCACCCTCAGTGGAAAGAAAGGAAGGATGCTAGTGTGAACTGTGTTTATAACAAGCTGTCAGTCACAGAGTAGAAAGGGTTCCTCAGACTCTGAGTCAAACGGGTCACAATGAAAATGGTATAGAACTCTAGTTCTACAGCCATGCCCTGCCAGGGATAGGAGGAATTAAAAAATAGTGGCCACTGGCAAGCTTGGGCCCAGCTACAGATACACTGAGAATACTGGATCCCTGCTAACTTCTACCAGCCTAGCTACCGTCCCACCCCAAATTACTAACAGCCATGCTTGCCTAGTCACCGGGGGCATGACAAGGTCATGTTTCTGATAGGCTTTAAATAAATACAACATTAAACATAATGATGACTCAGGGGTCTTCTCTGAGACTGATGCTCCAACCAAGGACTGTGCACAGAGATAACCTAGAACCCCTGCACAGATGTAGCCTGTGGCAGCTCAGTCTCCAAGTGGGTTCCCTAGTAAGGGGAACAGGGACTGTGTCTGACATAAACTCAGTGACTGATTCTTTGAGCACCTCCACCTAAGAGGGGAGCAGCCTTACCAGGCCACAGAGGAAGACAATGCAGCCAGGCCTGATGAGACCTGACAGACTAGGGTCAGATGGAAGGGAAGGAGGACCTTCCCTATCAGTGGACTTTGGGAGGGGCATGGGAGAAGAAGAGGGAGGAAAGGTGGGATTGGGAGGGAATGAAAGAGGGGGCTATAGCTGGGATCCAAAGTGAATAAACTGTAATTAATATAAAAAATAAAATAAAACTTGGTGATGATCTCAGCCACTATCTATCTTTTGTAAGAATGGATGAAGTAAGTGGCAGAGGAAAGGGTAATTCCCAGATGATGTAGACATTTCCTCTTGGTTACTCAGTCAGTGAGGAAAGGGAGGAAGAGACAGACACTCTGGGCTTTAAAACTGTTGTCTGAACTCAGTCAGTGTCCCCACCATTCTGGGCTGATGCCTGGTCTGGAAAAGTCACAAAATAATAAACTGACTGCCTTGCTTTGGCTACTCTGGGTCCATATTGCTCACATTCTGAAGTGAGGGTCCTTTTGCCTCATAGGAGAAGTCAGATGAGTGGGATTTTAAGTCATTATTAATTATAATTAAGGAGGAGCTGGAGAGATGGCTCAGAGTTTAAGAGCACTGGCTACTCTTCCAAAGGTCCTGAGTTCAATTCCCAGCAACCACATGGTGGCTCACAAGCATCTACAATGAGATCTGGTGCCCTCTTCTGGCATGCAAGTACACAGGCAGGCAGAATGCTGTTTAAATAATAGATAAATAAACCTTAAAAAATACATACATACATACATACATATATAAAATTAAGGATCTATTGAAAGCCTTTCAACCATCCACAAAGTCTAGTGTTTAATCTGATTATATCATCTGATAATATAATGATTATATCATCATTATATAGGGGCCAATACAGACCATAGTTTCTCTGTCACCAAGCCAAGATCACTGTGTCTATGGCCAAGCACCAGAGGTCAGCAGCTCATGTGGAGGGACCAAAAATAGATAGATAGATAGATAGATAGATAGATAGATAGATAGATAGATAGATAGATAGATAGATAAAGCACTTTCCGACGCAGGTTCTCACCTGGCTGAGGAGATGCTTATTTGCAACTTTCTGTGAGAATAAGCCAGATGCCCCCACTCCCTGTCTTGCCCTGGCTGCAGAGAAGCATTTAAATGTGTCTGGCTGAAAGGTGTGTGCCAACTTTGATGGGAACACTTTTACAAATCATATTAAGAACCTTAATCCAGAAACTGTATTTAGATTCAATAGTTTCACCTTCAAAAATTTACCCTCAGAAAGAATCTAAATTCAAAGGAATGTATGCAAGGAATAGTTAACTGAATTGTATATCAAAATAAGAAAAGTGTGGTAGCAGAAGCCAAAAGATGAGATTTGGATACAAAAAGACCCAGGTCCATTCTTGTTCCTACCGTTAATGCTCATTGTACTCTTGCCAAAGGAGCTATTTTAAGTCTACCATATGACCTGGCTATATCAGTCCTTTGCATCAGCCCAAAGAACTCAATTTCATAATCCACAGATACTTGCCCAGTCATGTTTATTGCTGCTCTAGTCACAGCAGAGAGGGAATTAAAACAATCCAAATGTCCTTCAATTGATGAATATATAATTAAAATATTACACATACACCACAGCTCTAAAGAAAAATAAAATCACAAACTTTGCAGGTAAATGGATAGAACTAGAAGAGATCAGATTGTATGAGATGACCCAGACCCAGAAAAACAATGTCACACGTTATCTCTTATTGGAGGTTCCTAGCTCCACATCTTCAGATGTTACCCCTAGAGAGGCGTAAGGTAAGATTCTGTTATGGAAGACAGCATGAACTTCAGAGCCCAGGGGCCCCTAAGCTAGAACCTACTTGAATGCACCCTCCCTGAGGACTACCTTTCATGGTAACAAGAAGGTTCCATTGGTGCTTCCAAAGAAGGGTAGTAACCAACAGCCCCACTCAACTGTGACACCTATGAACCACATCAACTGCCAGCATGGCACAATAACCCTGTGGGTACAATAGTGGCACACAGACCTTGGCAGTAACCAAGTTCTCTAATTGGAATTAAGACAAGCTCAACAAGAGGGATGCCATGGTTGGTACTGGAAACTTTGCTAACTCCTCAGTGTTGGTGGAATAGTGGCCACTGGAGGAAAATCTACAACCACTACTTTACTGAACCAGCATAATACCTAACAACAATCTGAACATTTGCCTTTATACCCACAGATAACTGTGGTCTTCACACTGCATCAAGGAAATTGCTCTTCGTAACAGATGGAGATCGTTATAGAAAACCACGGCCAATCGAAATACAAAGTTATAGAGCCCAGTCCCAGTGGACACAGCTACAAAACACCACCACACCCAAGGCTCAGGGAACACTGCAGAAGAGGAGGCAAGGCAGAAAGACTGTAAGAGCTAAAGGCTCGGCAAGATTGCTGTGAGACTGTGTCTCCTGGCCAGAAGCTATATGTGTTAAAAGTCTCACCAAGGTGACTGCCCAAACATGAGCTGAACCAGGATGACAGCAGCAGATACACCAGCTTGGACAGAGAAAAGCTCAAGATGCTTCAGCCCTACAAAAAGAACTACAGGCAGCTTAGTAAAGCTGGGAGCGGGAGGAGTGCTCCTACCCAGGAAAGAGCACATCAATTGGTTGTCCTGAGCCAGACTCAATAGTATATACGATATATATGCATATACATATTAATGATATATATACATGCAGTAACAATTAGTGAAAAAGTCATGGATTTGAAGGAGAGCGTTGAGTATATGGAAGGGTTTGAATGGAGCGAGGAAAAGAAGAAATGTAATTATATTATAACCTTGAAAAAAAAGGGGGGGAGCTGCTTTAAGAATCAAATCTGGAATATGGCTGGACAGGAAGGAAAAGTAGCCCCAAAGATTTATTAATGAGGAGAGCCATGTCCCTTTAATACACACACACACACACACACACACACACACACACACACACACACACACAAAGTCAGATCAATCATCAAAATACACATCTTGAAGAAAGCTGGGACACGAGGTTGCCGCTGTCAAAAGCATGTAGTGCATATGGCAAAAACAAAATTGAAAAGTGACTGAAAATGAGAGGGAAAAAGTTACAACAATCCCTTCTTACCCCAGTCCCCATGGTTAGGGCCGAGACCTACATCACGACGTTGCTGCACTGCCTGACAATGACAAGGGAGATCTCTATATGGTATAAAAAAATAGCAGCGTCACCAACTCCCCTATCCCTTCTCTCACGAGAGTGTAAAAGGCCTGCCAGAAGCTGACTCCACCTTTGGGATACAGAATAGAAGGGCCTCCCACTTGGCTCCTGCCGACTTCTCTGTCTCTGTCAGCAGAACGCTGATGTCACGTAACTGAACGGTATCAGCAGTGTTCATGACCACTGATTTAAAACGTCACGCCCCATCCAGTTGTTTTCTTAGCGTGTAAGGGAAGTATCTGTGGCTTTCCTGTCCTCAGAAACCCTGAGAGAAACTTTCTCCTTGATGATAAATGGTAACAGTGTGCCGCTAAATCAAGCTTACTACAACCTGGCTGTTCTTACGCATCACCTCAACAATATTCACAACGGTCCTAGGAGGCTTTAATATGCCCAGCTGAAAGAAGTTGTAATCAACTCAGAGATGCCACAGAACTAACTGGCCCAAGTCACCCAGCTTGCTGCTATGTGAGTCAGACCATGAGTCTTCCATCCCTCTCGAGAGGCAAGGCGTCTAATGAATGCGCTAAAGTGACTCACACCACGCAAAGTGGGCTCCAGACTTGTCCAGAGCTGTCGAAGCTGAGGAGTTTGAACATGTCATGAGAACACTGATTTGTGCCTGAGGTTGCCATGTCACACTGGGAAGATTCGAGAAGGACTGATTGAAGCGCCATTTTATAGGTAAATGAGGTGAAGTCCAGAGAGAAGGCAGAGTCGTCAGAGGCAGAGATAGGCTGAAAGGTGACTAGCAGGCAACCACCAGGTGCTCCTTCTGCTCCATGAGGAACACTGGGCACTCTCACAACCCCCAGGAATTTATAGAAAGCACATCCTCTTGTACACACGGCAACCATTCATTCATCTGAGCTACTGGAGATGAATGAGAAAGCATTCCACGAGCCGGGAGAGAGGAGAGACATGTTAGATTTAGGTAGGAGAGCAGAAAGTGGCCAGGGCTGGGATCTGCAGGAGAGAAAAGGGAAAAGCTATCAAATATCACTGTATACACTCCTGCCACGACCCTCAAACAGCATGGTTCGGAACGTAGCCACACCCCTTCCTATG